GTCACAGGGCACCGTGCATGGCAACAAAGGGACCGTTATTTGCTCCCGCTGCTGCCTAGGCAATCCTGCACTCACAGCAGAGGCCTGAGCACTGGGGCTGCCACAGAGACTGTGGGCTATGCACGGGCAGGGTAAGGCACCAGTAAAGGGACATTCCACTCTGCTGGGCACAAGGTGCCTTTGCAAAAGTAGCTTCTCCCCAGCAGCCACAGGAGCTTGGCTTCGCAGGGCCCACCAATGCTGAGGCTCTGGTGTGCTCTCTGGTGCTCCAAATGTGCCCAGTCACCCAAGATGTCAGCATGGGCTGCATGGAAAGCAGGGCTGAGGGTAGGAACTGTGGGAAAGGGGGCAAAGTGCAAGGAAATAAGGCAGTCACCACCTTCCTCATCGAGGGCTGGAACAGGCAGGAGGCGTATGCGTGTGCGTGTTATAAATGCAAAAGGTTTATTTAATGTCAGTAATTTAAAATGCCTTGCACTATTACTAAATATCAGTTATCAGATTGGCATTGACTGATATGGTTAGTTAACCATCGGGTATTGGTATCAGCCAAGAAAACCTTTCTTGGTGAACCCCTACATTGCACCAGTGTTCCTCTCCATTCACTGTTCTGCATGGGAAGAAATCTTGTGAAAGAAAACATTGAACTTATGGTATTATTAATTTTATTTCTATTTATTTAATTAATCCTTGTTCAGACATGGAGTTTTCTGTGATTTCAGAAATGTTGTTTGACATCTTTATTTCCCCCATACATATTAAAGATAATGTTTATTTTTAGGATTAACTGATGCTTCGTAGGAATTCTGAAGATAGAAAGTACTAACTTAATGTTAAATTATGCCAAAAATAAATAGTTTTTTTAGGTCTTTAAAATAAGCTCCTGTCTGACTGGTTATTTATCATCTTCAAATAATGTCAATCTCATGAAATCACATGGGCTTCCAAGATTTCAGAGACTGGAAACAAAACAAAAAGAGGCCCAAACCAGTTTTAGATCCAACCTAAAATGAAAGCTGCATAAACTAATTCAGTTTTCAGAATCAAATACAACTGCTTTACATTGTTACCCTAAAGTATACAAGTGTTCCACTTCAAGGGTTCCTGCTCATACCTCATTTGCAATTCTTAACACTCTCTTCCATAATGAGATGACAAACAAATCTAGCTCCATCTTCAGAACTACTGGCAGGTGCTACAATTTGTTTCTCTTGAACAATCTCAGCTGGCAAAGAAAGGTAAAGAAAAATTAATTTAACCTTTCCCAATTTACTGTGATTCATGTCCCAATCACTATTATACTACCTTAAGTTTCAGTATATACAGTAGATATACACTAGAACCCAGGTCATTCATATCTAGGTTGTCAGCAACTTGCTTAATTTGTAGTAGGTTCCCAAAAAATAAGAATGAGCCACTCCGCTCTATGCTCCAGCTTTTACTTCAAAGGGTGCTGTTTCTCTGATCGACTGGAGCTCATCAGTTATCCCACATAGATGCTTCTCCATGCAACTCCTGGTTACTTTGCAAGCCTTCATCTTCACAGAGGGATAATGATTCTAAACCTGCAAAGAATTTGGTTTTACTGCATTTGTTTCATAATTCCTTCATTAAAATATGTACAAGAAAACATTTACTGACCACTTAGTTATGTCTTATTAATGGTCCAATTTAAGGCTGGCTGCAGAGGGCACAGTGTCTACATTGCCGTCCGTGGCTTCCTTACAACGTCAAAATTAAAAGAGAAACAAATTTGATTTTAATAACAAGTTTTAATCATTTTACTAAATATGTATTGATTGCTAAGACTTTTCTTCATTTTATTTCTGTTTTCTATCACTTCATTAAACTTGAAAAACTGCTTCTTGTATAACATCACATACTGACATCCTATATTAAAGAACATATTTCTTTAAATGCTCTGAGCCCTAATTAATAATAAAAGCTATCCATCTAAAACCTGGCAATTATCACAACTTTAACAAGCCAGGCTTTCATTTGCACATGTTGGCATGCGCTGGATCCAGCACATATCTCTATCCAGAGTTTATCTGGCACCAAAGACGTGGAAATACATTTGTGTTGTGGCCTCAGCCTGAAGGTGCTGAAAATTATCTGATGATTATCAGAAGTTCTCAAGATGTTTGAGGCATTAGTTAAGCCAAACTCACAACACATCTGTGAAATGGATACTATTATATGCATTTTACATATACATAAACTGAGGCACAGAGACTCTGTCTACAGTCACATTACACATTAATGGAAGAGTGAGCAACCGATTGTAGGACTACTTGCACCTAATCTTCCAACATAATTATGAGATCTCATTGCTCTACCTTTGTATTTTTATATATCTCATAAGCAAGGGCTTTTCCAAAGTAGCAATCTTTTGGGTTAATACTTCCCCCATAACGAGAAATTATGTACAGGCTGACGTCCTGGCCCTATTAAAAGTCAATGACAAAACTCCTGCAGGATTTTTCCTAGAGCATGCATTAAACAAGGTATGGGATTATCACTTTCTCTTATAATTCTTTTAAAGAGGGAGTAAATACCTATGCCAGGATTTTCAAAAGTGATGGCATATATATGGCCAGATTCTCAAAAATTGAACAACCTGCTTCCTCTCACTTACTCTTTCTCCCAAGTGCATGTGGATGATTGTATCACATTTCATTTATTTTGAGACAGGTTAATGAGTGGGCTGTTGAACCTAGATTAAATACAGGTTGCAATTCAAGGCTGGTCCAATGGCCAAGAACTGTTTTTGTAAAATTGAAAACCAAAATGATCAATCTGACAAAATATTTCCATTATCTTTAAATAATGTCCATCTCATGAAATAACATGGACATGCAAGATTAGAGACTGAAACTATACCTAAAAGAGAGACCCGGATCAGTTTTAGACCCAACCTAAATTGAAAGCTGCATAAATTGATTTGTTTTTCAAAATCAAATACAACTGCTTTACATTATACCCTAAATTCAAGTGTTCCACTTTAGAGGTTCCTGTCCACACCTCATTTGTAATTTTTACACTCTCTTCCACAGTGAGAAAACAATTAAATCTAACCTCATCCACAGAACTATTAACAGGTATTTCAATTTCTTCCTCCTGGACAACCTCAGCCGGCACCTAGGTAAAGAAAAATCAATTTAACCTTTCCCAATATATTGTAGGAGTTCATGTCCCAATTACTTTTATACTAGTTTGAGTTTCAAGATATACAGCAGATATACAGTAAAACCAAGTCATTCATATCTAGGTGGTTTGCAACTTAATTTGTAGCAGGTTCCCCAAAATTAAGAATGAGTTACTTGTTTGTTTGCTGCAGCTCTTACTTCACAGGTTACTGGTTCTCCAGTCAGCTGGAGCTCACCATAGGTCCAAGCAGATGCTTGGAGAAACCCTTTCTTTTGATATAAAAGCTGCAGGAAACTGCTGGAACTGCCATTTCTCTGATCAGCTTAAGTTCATCAGTGACCACACACTGCTGTTTGCTACAGTTCTCTATACACCCCGGCTAATTTGTAAACCTTCATCCTCCAAGGGTGATAAGGAACCTAAACCCTGTAAAAAACCTTGGTTCTACTATACTGGTTTCATAATTCTCCCATTACAATATATACAAGAACACACTTATAGTAAAAAGAGCACCTGATCCAGATTTCACTCAAGTCAAAAAAATTTTCACTTCAAAATTGAGCATAAATTTCAATGGGACTTAGCCTAAGGAAGGCCGGAAGGTTTTGGCTCAAAGTATTTAAAACATGCAATATGCAGATTTCACTTTAGCAATGAAGTTCAGATCTCATAAATAATTTAAGTGAGCTCATAATTAATGGCCATGTCTGAAAGTGATTCAGCACAACCACAGGGAATTAAAATGTCAAATTTATAATGCTAAAAGCATTGTAACCTCATTCCCGATGTTAAAAAGGCTAATAATTATCTTATTAAAAAGTTACTGAAAACGCTTCTCTTAAGGAAGTTTGTCTTAATTAGGGAATCTTGCTATTACTGTAATATGTATCTGAATTTAAATCAACACAAGGCTGGATTTAAATAAAATATACCTTTCAAACAGCAATTTTAACAAGAAACAGAAAATATAGGTCTTCTCCAATTATTTAGTATTTTAGCTAAGTAATCTGTCCTCTCCTATTGTACAACTGAGGTGTAGATTAAACAGTCTATCACAACTGACATTCATTTATCCCATAAGTTGTTACAGCAACTTCAGGAGGGCTAATTATGCAAGCAAAGTGAACAGCAGTCTTTGGTCCATTGTCAAAACACCTTATTTCCATTTCAACTGTTGTAACAATATCTTGTATAGAAAGAAAGAGAAATGTTACTTTACAAATATAAACTGAGCATGTCCACTGGAATTATAAAAGCAGGATTAAATGTAAATGTTAAAGGGCCATAAGTGAAAGGACTAGGTGTAGAGAGAAGGACTAGGTGTAGAGAGAAATCGCTTAGATGGGAGTTTGTTAGAGCAGAAAACAGTCTTCCACAAAAATTAAAGGAATATCATTCAACGGATCTAAATAAATTTGGGAGACTAACTAACTAAATACATTCTAAAAAAAAGTGTCAAAAAAGGAAGAGATTAAAAGTGAAGATAATGCAAAGTAGTTACAGACCAGATGGCCTCAGAACAGAAGTGCCAGCCCACAGGACACATACCACAAGTGGAATGGGCAGCCTGTGCCTGTATGCATGTAGCATGTGCCAAACTGGGGAGGGCCCAGAGCAGATAGCGCAGGCAACAGAAAGCAGTAGACTGGAGAGAAAAAGGGAACTGGACTGGCACTTGAGGAAGGCTGGGGCTTACCAGCTAAAAAGACTGGCTCCACTGCCTTAGAAATATTGACTCTTCAGGACAAGACAATTGTTGAGTTGTTCCTCATTCATCACCCCAACACAAAAAGAAATCATCCCTCTTATCTGTGTGACAGGACACTTGTATGACAAATAGATGGACAGCTCTCATTGATAGATTTTATAAGGCTGATTAGAATATGAAAAAATCAAACATATGCTAATATTTACTGCTCTCGTTCACACCCGTATATGTTTCTTCTGTTCCTTCCTCCATTGTGCTATTCTGTCTACTTTTTCTTCCTCTCCTCTGGGGCTATTCTTGTATTTCTACATTTTCCATTCCATGCTATACTGCACTACCCGTCTTTACTGGCCCCTTTATATCTGATACCTCCCACGACACTCCCCAGTGTATGCCTTCCCAACAATATAAGCACATTGTAGTCAAGCTTCAAAGTTATTTAGGCATAGATTATTGTAACAAGGGTCACATTAGCAAAGATCAGTGACAGCTCAAGCTAGTTCACAATGAAATGGCATTATATACCATCAACTGATCTTATGCAGTGGGCTCTCAATTGTATAAAGTATATGGACTGGGGCAAGGTTCACACATGGAAAAGAGCAAATTTATCTTTTGAAGGATTGTAAATTGGAGTGAACAAGACTTGCTGCAAATATAGGGGGTACTTGTCTGAGAAACAGACACATTTTTAAATATGAAGGGTGAGTTTTTGAGTTGTTGGTATCCCTCTAATTAAGGGTTAGCTGTGTTTATCAAAAGCCTGTGTGAATTTTCTAGTAAAGCCTGAAGTGGTATTGTTACTTCCTGAGCAGTAGCTGTGCCATGAATGAATAGATTACTTGACTTTCCAGTGCTGTCAATCTTGCACATTTCTCAAGCTCTGAATTCACTTGAAAATACAAAAATAAAGATTTTACTGTCAGAAGTAGTTTGAACTGAATGAGAGAGTTCAGAGGAGGTGGTAGTTCACTGCCCATAGGAAATCTCTCTCTCAGTTCCTCCTGTAGCTGAAAGATGTTAGTCTCTTTCAAATCAGCTGTTTTTTGCAAGAAACAAACATAAAACTATGGTTTGTATCTAGCAAAGATCAAGATAATAAATGACAGAAGCAGAATTATTACATGTATCCTGACAGGTGAACGTTTTTCTTTTCATTGCTATTTTAAAACCAGATATACTGGTTTTTAATCAGTCTGGTAGGCTGTTATCCAACTCTTGATATTCAGGTATTTTAAAAATGAAATTGCTCTAATCCTTTTCTCTTTGATTTAACAGACTTAGATTGTACCCGGTAAAGAGTACTGATATACAATCCCTTTTCATGGATTTATTGCTTGGACAGAATACACGTTTTGTCACAAATCAATGTATTTTTATATCCTCTGGGTCCAATTGCACAGTTTAGTGCCTTCCTACCAGATAAGCATACATACCAAAATTAATTAGAAATAAGTAGTTATATAATATATAGATGCCTATGTTTGAAGGCTGCTCGTTGCCATAACCAGAAAATAATTAGGAAGAAAATTACGAGGTTTGATCAAAAAGTTCTAAGACTTGATGTTCAGGGTATTATTCATCAGGAATTTGTACCCAGTGGTCAAAAAATCAATCGGGCCTTTTGTCAAGAGGTTTTGATTTGATTGAGGGATAAAGTTAGGAGAAACCGCTGCGAGCTGTGTGAAAATGGTTGACGGTTTCTGCACCATGACAATGCTCCTTCACACACTGCTGTCTCCATTCAAGAATTTTTGGCTGAAAAAAACATTTCTGTGAGACCACACCCTCTGCATTCACCTGACCTTGCCCCATGTGATTTTTTTCTGTTCCCAAAAATCAAAATGAAGCTGAAAGGAAGGAGATTTGATGACATTCCAACCATCCATAAGAATGTGAAAGCGGAACTCAAAAAACTCACAGTTGAAGACTTCCAACATTGCTTCCGAAAGTGGCAGGGACGTTGGGACAAGTGCATATCATCTGGGGGAGATTACTTTGAAGGGGACAGCTCATAAAAATGTTGTTTGTACACTATTCTTTAAAATAAAGGCTAAGTCTTAGAACTTTTTGATCACCCCTCATACAATAAAGAACAGAAAGAAGCTGTAAAATAATCCCAAAGCTGGCAAACATGATCCAGGTCACTCCTCTATAAGCACATCCCACAAAGGCAGGTATACAACAAACAGAAATGGCTTGGTTCCTGCCCTGAAGCAAGCCAAAGAAGTTCAGAATATTGAATATGAAAAGGCCACATGAGAACTACAGGTCCTTGATGAAGAAGGTAACTCCCACTGAATCCACTGGGGATACAAGGAACAAGAAGAAGTTCTAGTTTCACAAATCTTAACTGACACAAAGTTTATGCAAAAATCAAGGATGATATCTTTTACTAGACCAACTGTCTAGCTGGAAGGGACACAGACAAGCTTTCACAAGTGTACCTTTTATAATTATTCAAGCCACCTAGGAATCTTTTTAAATTTTTTTTTTTATTAAACAAATAATTTGGAAAGGCTATTATCTGAGTTTGAGGATACTGGATGAGGCTTATATTCAAAGTTATCAGAGGGTAGCAGAGGCCTGTTAGTAAACTACTACGACTTATTGTTGGCAGTGGTGTTTACACTGTAGCACCAATAAGCCCAGCCAAGATGACGCGCCACAATACTAGGTACCAAATATCTACATACTAAGAGATTCTCTCCTTTCAAAAGCTCTCACAGTCTACAGAGATATAAAAGAATTATTATCCCACTTTACAGCCAGAATTTGAAATCAAAGGGAGATGAAGGGTTAAATCCTAGCTCACCTTCACAGGTTTATGTGGCACTTACATAGCCATGTAACTACAATTTTCGCATTGACAAACAGTTTAGATTGCACACAGCTAGAGTTTATCCTGTTTCCCTACTGAGCATGCTCAGGAGGCTGCAAGTAGCTGTGCAGGCACCTGGGATGGAATACCGTTGTTTCGACACAAGCAGAACGCTAAGTAAACCACAAAACTTTAGCCACAGAGGGTGTCTTCACACGTGCTCTGGGGGTGGGTGCTTTAATTAAAGCAACTCCTGAGAGCACCTTTAATTAAAGTGCCTGCAGCCAGGGCTGTCCGGGGGGGGGGGCGGGGGGGAATCGGGGCAACTGCTCTGGGCCCTGTGCTTTGAGAGGCCCTGCGGAGCCGGGTGGAGCAGTTGCAGTGACTCCGCGCTGCTGTCTTCGCATCCAGCTGCTCAGCACCTAGAATGGAATGGTCCTGGAGTCTGGCCTTGGCTCCTGT